TAGCAATACATACTCTGCCTGTCTAAAGGCTCTGGTATTTAAATACATGGATACGCTGATGTCGGAGTGAACGTCTTTTCATATTGCTCAAAGAAAAAGATATCGTATTTAAAAAAATGTCTTGATTATTTCAATTATCCATTTAATATCGAATTTTCCTTTGTATATTATAAGTTTATTATATTGATACGCATTTATGATCTTTAATGATTGACATATATATATATATATATATATATATATATATATATATATATATATATATATTTTGTCTGGTATACATCGATTGGTATGTGTAATTCTACTCTTTTTATATAGTATTCCTTTTTTATAATAGAGAGCGTATTTTTCGGATTCCAAGCTTACCTGAAAAACAATAAATATTGCTATACCAGCAGCATGGCCCGGCGTTGCCCGTTCTTGATTCAAAAATCGTACGACTCATGCAGCAATCGCTATCACTTGACTTAAAATAGTTTTGCCCTTCCTTGCCTTTAAAGGAGTGCCTTTTGCCGTGCTGATGTTGCTACATGCCTTACTTCTTGCATATCTAACACAGCGATTTTTTTCTAAGTTCTCTACTAAACATTAAATCTGTTACGAAAAAAGAACTAAACAAAATGAACACAAAATGATCAGCTTTAAAAAAGGATTCGTAACTGGAAAAACCGAATGAAAAAAGAATGTTAACAACAAATACTTTTTCATGCCCAACCCAGTTCTGCGGAATCAGAATCAACGTTGAGTTTAAGCAAGCAAATGAGCCAATTGGAGTAAAGTGCCATGCAGATTTAAAATTTTCCACCTTGTGACGAATGCAGCTATCGATTTTTTTTGCATGCTGGCATGCTAGTTAACGTTCGTGTCAGTCAGCTGTTGGCTCTCACGCTGGCCAAAAGAATCTTCCTGCCTATTCGTGGCAGCCAGCTATTGGCTCTCACTCTGGCCAGTACAAAATGGTCGCAAACTACATGAAAACTGCCGTAGTTGCTGCTAGTTGTATTCTTTTATCAATTTCTTATGTAACGTAACATTTTTGTGGAGGAGGAAGTATTTTCTAATTTTTTAGGAAAAGCGTTTCTAGCCGTAACGTTATTTTGTTTGGTTTATTTTTTTTTTTTTACTATCGATTCAGAATAGTCAATTTTTCTTCTATTATTTATCTTTCAAATATTTTAACAACAATTATGAAAAAAAAGTACTCATCCATTTCATTATAATTTTATACATTTTTATTCTTTATTTATTTATTGATTGTTTTTTATTATTGTCATTTAAAGTGTTAATAATAAGTAATACAATTAATGACTCCAGTTTACTTTGACATTCAGGGTAAAATATGTTTGTGTGTTTATGGAGGTATCGTCAAAGCTAGTACCTTTGCAGCAAAACGATCGAGCCTGCTTTACTCAGTTTAATAGGGATGCGGAACTAGTTCAGGACATACATTCAACTCTTAACACGTTGTCCAAGAAGCCCCATGGGCACTGCGACAGTCACACCCAGGTCAACGGCATCGGTCTGCCGCCTAAACTGTGTGAAGACAGACAGATGTTCCCGACACGACCGCTGAAGGGGAACACTTCTCCCCGAACTACAACCTGTGACAAGCGTCTATCGGTAGTCACCAGCCTGGCGAAGGAGCTTCGCCTCAGAGGTCACCGGCTTTACTAGTGGGCGGAAGAACTTCTGTGAGGAAGGATGGGGTAACCTCAGAATCTCCGTTGCAAAAGACGCCGGCAAATTATTGAACTATTTTGAATGTCGCCATGAAGCACATTTACAACAGAAATAGGGGGAGTGACCACAGATGCGCTGAGTTATGCATAACTAAGAAAAAACGGAATAGAATACTCCTTAGAAGAAGCGATAAAGATAACATGTCAATTAATGATGACAATGAAAGAAAAGCATTTATGCACATAATTCTAGAAAAATAAGCAAGAAATTTACATCTGAAATCAAATCTGGACTGTGCAGAGGGCATATGATAAGAGATATGGTAAGTGTTAATGTCAGCTAAATAAGTGACGAAAACCATATTAGGATATTTTATTTGTTGATTTTTTTTTTTTTACAGCCTATCTAACTGTTGCAGAAAAAATGTTTATACAGTAAAACATTTTGGGAGTTAATAACGATTTACTGATACACGATACGAAGCTATTCTGTTAAACACCAAGATGGCCAAGGTAATAGTGATTGACAGGAACCGCACAGACTACATCAACTTCCTGATAGACGTTGAGTGGGTAGACAATGAGGGGCTGGATCTTGTCTACGTGGATTCCACCATCAACACCCAAGTCAGCCCTACGCGTGAGGTGAACGGAATCAAGAAGTGCTGTGACAAAATATCAAGAATAATCGGAATATACACATCAGCCTAAAGTTTAAATTACGACCAGTCACCGCTTTCGTCATCGCCGGCTACGGATGCGAGTTATAAGCACTGACAATGAGGAAAAGACACCGCATTGATGCTTTCGAGATGTGAGCATAAAGCAGAGTCCTTAGAGCGACATGGACAGCAAGACGCACTAAGAAAAGGGTGCTAGATACCCTCAGAACAATGTATGTATTAAAAGAGCAGATGTTACTAAGAAGGTTCCGTTACTATGATATTATGGTAAGCTGTTAAATGTAGCCATCTCTTCTACTCCAATAGCTTCATGTCTTGCACTTCCCGTCTGTGGAACTCCCTTCCTCTTACTTGATTTCATGATAGCTATACTATTCAATTATTCAAATGTAATGTCAATCGACATCTTCAGATGCTTTGATCTAATTAACCATCCTCCTCTTCATCTATTCTTCAAACACGCCTTTTTACTCTTGCTCTCTCACTCTCTGTAAACCCTTGCGTGCTAGTGGCACTAACGGTTTGCTTGGGGTGAAATGCTTAAAAAAAACACACACACACAAAAACTATGTGCTTAATGTAGATTCAACAAGTATATACTTGACTAGTATATTTTTTTTGGCGGGATTTTCAACAGAATAAACGGCTCAAGCGCAGCTTAGTGACTGCACATGAAATTAGGAACGGGTTGATCAGTTTTGACAGAAAAAAGATCTCGTGAGAGAAGCTTGGTAACCGATTTTCTAGAGGAAGCGCTTCCTATACACTGTTGTCTAAATTTAGGTCTGTTTGAAAGTCGTGTCAATTGCAGTGTGATCAGATTAGCTCGAGGGAGCGTAAGTGAGACTAGATTGTTAACCGTTGTTCTACAGGAGGCACCAAGAATTCATACAATTGTTATAGAATTTATATCGACTTCTAATCTTCGTTCTCTTCTATTGTGACTAATTTTTTTTTATTTTTATATTTATGTTCCGGGATTATTTTTTCTAAGTCTAAGCGAGACATAACTTTTTTTTGGAAAAAAAAATCTGATTGAAGGGAAGATGCCCAGACTTATAAATTAAATTCAGTTTTCAAGTTTTCTTAATAAGAACCATTATTTCTTCTACCTACATCTTCTTTATTCCCTACAGTTATGCAATACGCTGACACGATAAAATCGTCAGTTAGCAGTCAGTACCAGGTTAAGAAAAAAATTTACCCCACCACCACCTCCGTCAAAATAAATAAATAAATAAAACGTGGGCAGGAGAGAATTTTTTCACATCTTTCCCCAGTACCAGCCGTGACGTTTTAGCAGTTTCTATTCCCAATGTGGGTGGGAGAAAAAGACATTTGGCGTCGCTAACATTCGTGAAGAAAGAACTGAGTAAAATCCAAAACACTATTTTATTAAAAATAGACAAATTATTGATTTTATTCCTCTTTTGGTGTCCAAAAGATATGGTTTTAAGACGTTCGAATTCATAGCACCCACCGGCAACACACTTCAGACGTATGAAAATAAATTCAACATTCATAGTTTAGAGGCTGTCATGAAATATTTTATATCTTTCTCCTGTTCACTTTATTTCCCTCACTTTTTTCTCTCTCTCTTCACACACACACACACACACACACACACAATAAACTGGATTAAGTTTGACAATCATTTAATATATTTTCTGTTTATACTTTAATAGATACAATTTACAGAGAATTTAATTAAAGAAACTTTATTTATAAAAATAACGTATGAAGTCTTTCTCTCTCTCACCCTCTCTGTCTCTCTCTCTCTCTCTCTCTCTCTATATATATATATATATATATATACATACATATATATGTGTGTATATATATATATATATATAGAGAGAGAGAGAGAGAGAGAGATAGAGAGGGAGAGTGTGTGAGTAAAAGAGTTTATACGTTATTTTCATAGATACAGTTTCTTTAATTAAATGTTTGTAAATTTTATCTGTATATATATATATATATATATATATATATATATGCATTTAGATATATTGTAGAACTATATATATATATATATATATATATATATATATATATATATATATATATATACATATGTATCTAGAGAGAGAGAGAAAAGAGTTTATACAATATTTTCATAGATACAGTTTCTTTAATTAAATGCTCTGTAAATTTTATCTATTCATTATCTATCTATCTATCTATCTATATATATATATATATATATATATATATATATATATATATATATATATATATATATAGAGAGAGAGAGAGAGAGAGAGAGACTGTGTTGCCCATGTGCTACCGGTAAGGTAAAAAGTGTATATTTATTATTAATATAAATTATAGAATTATAGCTGTTATTATACATTGTTTAGCGAGGTACGAAACCGGGTAGCTACCCTGTTTTTCATTTTTAGTTTTTATTATCATGAGTGGTAATAATAAAACTAATTTTTGTCTGTTAAATGAAGAACTCGTACCCATGAAATATTGCTTTCCATATTATAATTTAAATCTCTTGATTCTGTCATCGGCTGATATGCTTCCCGACCTTCCTAGTATTTTTCAACGTTATGTGCTAAAATATAATTCTTGCTTCTTCATTTTGGCTCTAATGTTTTACGACTTTCATATTATCTGAAGTAATATGATGATGATTATCTATCTATCTATCTATCTATCTATCTATCTGTCTATCTATCTATCTATAGTGCATGATGGATAAATTGTCGGTTACATTACGCAAAAATAAAAATAACACTGATATCTCATTTTAACAGATTTATTTACCAAAATTACATAAAAATATCTTGAAATACAAAAGAGAACCTTTATTCAATAAAATCGCCATACACTTCATCCACTTCCTCCAGAGGACTTCGGATTCTCCTGCAACTCTTCTGGACGGTCTCCTTGTTTAACCATGCCAATACTGCTATAATTCTTGCCTTCAATTCATCTTTGGTGTTAGCAGAAGTTTTAGTGATCACTCGTTCAACTGCATCCCACACAAATAATCAAGGGAGCTGCAGTCTAGGGAGTCGGGTGGCCAGATGTAAGGGGTGGTGTGGTCGCATAAATTGTCAGACATTTTGTGTGGCATGGTGCAAAATCAGACATAATCTCTTCAAAGCTGCCACCGTTTCGACTCAGGGCAACGCTACCTCCTCAAGGCATTCGATGTAGACCTCCTTGTTGTGTCTGAGCTTGTCACCCAAAAATTCGGGAGTTTTTTTTCCAGATCAGAACGATCAGAGTTTCCCGGGCTGTCGTACCTTCTTAACCACCATTAGACTCATCCATCTCTTATGGAATCCTCTGTACAGTTCTCAGATTGATACACAAACACTCTTAAAATGGCCAATTTGATAAATAGATACAGTTAGGTTTTTTTTTTTTACTCTTGTTCTGTTCCAACATTCTTAAATCCTATAAAATTGTAAGTGATATCAACCATGCCAGTAAAAACTGGCCTATTTCGTAACAGAAGAAGAAAACACCAGAAAGGTGGTTCTACAGAAAGATACTGAAAACATCATCGCAGTATTTATGTGAGCATCGAAAACTTTTTATTTAAAAAGGGAACGTAAAGGTAACTTACATCATATTACTCATAGTTGAAATTTCCAGGGCACATAATAAGTCAGTTATGTGCCATGCGTGATAAACAATTAGACGATCATGTATCTTTCGAAACAACACTGACGAGGCAGATTTTTCCCGCAGTAGGTTGCTATTTCTTTCTGCAGTAAACCATATGCAATCCAAGGCTATAGAACCCAGTATGTCCTGCTATTTACCCATAGCTAGGAGAGAAGAGAAATCATACCTTTCCCAAGCTTATTAGCGGATAAGTGAATGTAATCGATTTGAATGGAATTTGAACCCGGTTACTCGATTCCGCAATCACCTCTACGCAGCAAGCCCCTTAGCAAAAATAACGGAAAATATTGCTACAGCTGCATTAAAAATATCGAATAAATAATAAAAAGCCGCAACAAAAAAGTAATAACTTGCAAAAGTACAATCAAAACCCCCAATGCAACTGCAGAAATAAAACCAGATGCCCACTGCAAAGAAACTGCCTGAAAATGAACATAGTATACAAAGTCAAGGTAAACGCAAACAACACTACAATGTACTACATTGGCTCCATATAAGGACCATTTAAGAAAGAAAATACAACCAGGTCTTCTCATTCTCCAATAGAAAATACTCCAGCACCACACTATCATATATATATATATATATATGGCAACTAAGAGACAGAAACATCATACCAAAAATAAGCTGGGAAAACATGAAAACCGCGCCTGCCTATAAAAATATAACAAAGAGATGCCTAATTTGTCTGCACGAGAAAGTAGTAATAATCTTCCACACTCAACAAAAGGAATTACTAAACCAATGATCAGAAATAATTTCAAAATACAGACACTAAAATAAAAATCATATTACAGTCACTTATATCACATATCACTTATATTACACTACATACCAAAAGGATATTACATACAACAAATCTGATCACAACCAGGATAAAAAAAAAACCCAAAAATAACACCACTATAACAATTAACAGAGTTTGATAAAGTTACCAGTATTGTTACCTACACTGCCATCACCCCTACGACGCGAGTGGATAAACCACTAACGTTTCAATATCATTTTATAACAACTGCTACTATTTCAATTACCAATGTTGCCGTTACCACCTTATGCACCTACCGAAAAATTGCTACTATTATTATCACTTAATATCCTTCCCCAACAAAATTAGTATTGCTTTTTACCATTATCTATATATATATATTTTTCATGGCAACATCTCTGACGAACTATTTTCCCCCGGTGCCCGCTCTACTTGAGTTTAAATGCACTACTAGACTGGCGTCTAGGTTCCACCATTTTACTGTTGATTGTATCCGACACTTCTACTCCAACAGTTTCTATTCTCGCACCTCCAGCCTGTGGAATTCACTTCCGTTTCCTTGCTTCCCTGATAACTACAATCTTCAAAAGTTTAAATACAACGTCAATCGCCATCTTCTATCTTCTTGAACCCCCTTTTCAGCTTTTATGCTTTCCTCAGTTCCCCTCTTCTTCCACCTTCACGCCCTGCATACCAATGACATTCCCGCCTTGCTTGGGGTGAAGTAATTCAAAAAAATAATATCTGAATAGCCATTTTTTTTTGTATATTAAATATTTCAAAACTGTGTGGCTTAAATCGATAATTACTTCTTTTGTTATGATATTGACAACGAAAATCAGTTTGTTTATCGGGATTATTTAATATGGAAGTCATTTAAAGCTATGAAATGAATTGTTCTTCAATCACAACGGCCAACTAATATAAAATATAAATCAATGAAACGATTAAAGTAAAAATATTACAATAAATAAAAAGAGGAATATGGATGAATACAGAAAAATATTTAATATTTTATTTCTACCTTTGTATTTAGAGAGGGACAATATTGAAATGAGTTTTTTTTTTTCGTATTTGTTTTACTAGTTTTTAAATATTCATAGAATGAAGCCAACATATTACGCAATATTTATACGAAAATGAAGATTCTAGTGATGCATTTGTGGGAGAAAAAAGAAGAAAGAAAGAAATGTATTCATTATCGTAAACAAACAAAAAAAATTAATTAACCAGTATATATTTTGATTTATACATAATTTAAAAAAAAAACTGTGCATTACTGAGATATAAAAGTTATCTTTGTTGAATTTTCTACGTTTTGATTTTTTGATGACGTCAAGTTTTCATTCAAAGCTTTTGATGAAGACCGATTTGGGGACAAAATGAAATTCGTTTTAAAATAATTGAAAAATATTAATAAAATATATCACAATCACCAACTCACGAAATTTCGTATTTGAAAGTGTGTTAACAGAATCCAACCAGTGACTCTTATTCTGTTATTTAAAACAAATCGCTGACTCAGCGCCAGTCCGAGAGTCAGTGTTCGTCTCTTATCGTGATTAAAAATTGCAGTTTGGGGCACCTGCTCTAGAGTAACTTTAAGTTTCAAATAGATGAGACATTTTTCAACTACCCCTTTTTAATAAACATTCGAATGAAAGTATTTGCCCTCGAATGCTCACAAGCTGGATTAAGGTGTAGGATATATCTTTCTTTTGGGTGATATCTACCGTCAATTTCTACCATAGTATGATATTTATTATTCATTATGGTATGCTATTTACCAACTATTGGAATTATGAAATATGTTGGGGTTAGGGGTTAGAGTTAGGAGTTAGGGTTAGGTGTTAGGGTTAAGGTTAAAGGCAATGAACAGTGAACTAATTATGCATTAAAAATCATTAACATCATTTATACGAAAAAAAAAATCATCAAATATTGATTTTAATGTTTGAAAACTGATTTGATGTCATTTAAAAAAAACAATAAACAGGTTTTCGATTTTCCTGAGTATATATCGTCATTTACGGTAGGTCGCAAATATCTCGGTAGATATTAAACTATAATAGCGCAGGATGACATATTCCATTAATAAGGAGGAAGTTTCACTTGGACAGCTTATTTTCGAGAAGCGCTAATTTGTGCAACATACTTTCTCTCAAATGCTTTCCCGATCAATATAACTTTAACCTCTTCATATCTTGGGTCAAATGTTATCCTTGCCAAATATCATCATAAAGCGCACTTAGCTCTATACTCTCTTACGCCCATACAACAATCTCATTGAGTAACCCTCTACCTTGAGTGGCTACTGGGCCTTTTATTGCATGAGAATTAGCACAAAAAATTAAAATTCGGTGGAATAAGGATGTCTCGGTTGGATTTTTCGTTTAATAAATGATCGTCTTGACTTTTCGATTGGGAACTCAATTAATCCAGATGGTGTTCAACGACTTTGGACAATTCTCTGTCCGGCGAATAAGGCCCCGTGAAGTGATGTCCTAAGCGGTGTTTAGATGCGGCATCCAGTGAGGATCGAATTTGCAACTGATTCGTAATCGATCGAGTGGACAAGCTTGTTAAACATTAACATACGTCGACGTACCCTATGATTTTCCATGCGTAGTTAAGATGTGGTACAATTCCGAACGTTTGGAACCCCCAGTGAAGATCAAACTCGTCATTGATCTAGCAATATACGATACTATCTTAAAAAAGAAACGACCAAATGCTCTCCGTGGCTATAAGATGCGTTTGCACTGAAAGACTCATAGGCTGACTAAGAATGACTGATGCTAAAACTGTGAAACCTTCTTATAAATTATTGCATAGTTTCTTTCCAGGTAAACTGACATCTGACTGATCAAAGAAAACCGATTATCCTGTTGGTCAAAAAATGTCATCAATAACAGATATGACGTCATCATTGTGATACTGATTTCCAGCCAAGTGTTTTTTTTTTTTTTTCACGTTGGGTAACAAACAAATAGGGAAAAAACGGGAAGGTGTTCGACAAGTTCAAAACCACAATCACGTGAAACAGCCATTAAAATCGAGGATTTGTGTGTTCGAATATTGACCTAATGAAACAAGACCCATTTTGTTAGTTTTTCTGGATGTTTCGTCTTGATAGCCTTTCGTAACTGCCTCAGAAAGTTGGCAAGAACTTTCTATTGATGGTGGGGTCCTTTTGAAGATTGCCAATAAACACAATGCTTTTGACATTCCCTAAACTGAGATATTCATTTGCCTGCAGAGGAAACGACAATGGCCTT